CGCTTCCTATCAAGTGTTCCACATTTTAAGCTGTCATAGCCAACAACAGCAGTGACAGAGTAACACAAACCTTCTAGGTTATATATGGAGAAAGCTCAGCAATCAGGGAGTTCAACAGTATATAGTCATGTATTTCCCTTAATAAAATGGTCCCCCTGGAAAAAAATGTTTAGGGTTAAATGGTAGTAGTAAAGTCTGTTTATAACACATGAGCTTAGAACAGGAGACTAGCATACGTGTTCAGTCTGCTGTCCAGGTACTAACTGCTGCTGCTAAACTTCCAAGTTTGTTGCTATCCCTTCCAATGGCTCATCTTTTAGATGTTGACCACAGCCCTTCAAACAGAGGACTCTCTCAAAAGGAGGACCTATGCCTACCCTAACTGGGACTATTCTCCCCAGCCCTCAATAGCTGCAAGCCCAGCTATGGCAAGTTAATGGGGAAGAAACATAAGGATTATGCAGCAAGAGCCAGGGAATATACCCTGGGTGGTTTCCAGATTGGGGTGAGAAGCTATGTTTAGAATGCCATAACGCAGTTTGACCAAATTGCAGGATTTGCCTGTATTAATCCAGAAGGAATGCATCACTGGAATTCTGCTCTGCCTTTGTCACATGGCCTGCTATGTCAGCGCCAGAAAGTTCTTGCTTTTGGCCTTGAATCAAATAATGCAAGGTCTATTCATTGCTGGCATGTGGGCCCCAGAATTATAACATTGTTGTGTGAACCAAATGCATTACAGAATTTGCAGATCTCAGGATGATCGTGGCAGTAGCCAATCAAGAGTATACAGTATTAGCAGCAGCCAAGCAACAGTGTATTAGCACCCCTGTAAGTTAACTGCTCTGCAACTGCAAGTGGAATTTGTAGGTACTGCGGTTAGCTTTCATTTCAACGATTATCCTACCAAGCAAGAGGAACTGGCTGGACTTAGTAGCCGGCTTCAACATAACAGATCTAACTGGTGCATTCTCTCGCACACAGTTCCTTGCAAAGACCACTTCTGCGGCCACCAGACAGCTTTACAGAACATCTGAGGTTATCAGCTGGTGCATCCTGGAGCACACAGCAAAACATGCATGCCTTTCCTTCCAAGTCAGGGTAAGCAGCGCCATCCTTTGGCTGAGACCTATGCTTCAATAGCTCCCCCCATTTTATTACTCAATTGCATTCTGAACTGCTGAGCAGGCAGTGATGGATAGTTGACTGCCAATGTTTTGTCCTTAGCTGGCCCTGTTACATGGTTAGTAGTAAGGTTCTGAGAAGTTCAAGTTTTCTGAAATATTTAAAGAGGAGCAGCACAAGGCCTACATAGCACACAATCTGCTACCTTCTCCCATCAAGTAACACTATTTCTGCAGAGCTTCTTGTCAAGTTTGCATTAATATGGGGGCAGTTCAATACTTTCCGGGAAGTCGTCTCAGCCCAGCGCAAGTTTCTGTTCCTCCTCCCCACCCTTAATCCAAGCTGCCATCCCATCAAAACCCTCATTTCCAGTTAAGGCAACTTCTCAGAAGGATTAGGGGCACCATGCCACGTTACAGAGGTCCCCTTACTTCCATAAAACGAGATTTCTGCCAAAGGCAACTTCTGCCTCAGCCATCTGAAATAATTCCATTAGAACACTGCTGAGTGACATGCCCCACTTGGAACAAACAACCTCGAGCAAGGATTATTCGAGAACATTTAATTAGGGGCTCTTTTCCTTCTCAGGGAGCACCAATCTAGCCAACCAGTCAGCGAATTCTACACCACCACCCCCAGTGGCTAGGGTAATGAACATGCATACTACCAGGTTAAAAACCTCATGCTTTCGGAAGCTGTCTGTTGATTAATGCATATGCTTCCAACATCCACACATACATTTAATAAGAGCTGGGGTGTTTTTTTCCAAGCAGATATTGGCCTGGTGATGAACTCTGCTTATCCCAGATGCACAGAGTGTGATAAGATAACTCATTAGGTTAAGCATTCCCATTTGACATTTCATCTCCTTGCTGTGGCCAAAGGAATGACTAGGCATTTCCCCGCCTTAAAGAATGCTGTGACTCCACAAGATCTCATATGGCTCCTCGAAAGGGGCAGCTGATTAATGAAATGGCTTTGCCTTATCTGCTACAGAAATTTTAAGCCCACCCCTAAGCTTAAAGGGGTAATAAAAGTTCTGGATTTCAGTCAAGTTGGACTCCTAGATCAGAGGCTTGCTTGCAAGCTCTACAGTCCTGTTAAGACATAATGCTTATTAACCACAGTTAAGCATTACACCTGCAGAGAGAAAGGTCTAGGCATTCTCACTTTTTCTGCTTGCAAGGCAGGTTTTTTTAAAATTTATTTAAAAAGCCTCCATGATTAGAGTTTGACCTGTTTGCTATCTAAGGATGATACAGCAGAAAAGGAACAGGGATTCGGAGGGAGGAGGAAAAAAGCAAGTCACAGTAGCTTTGCCTGAAATGCTTCTACCTCTGCATCTGCAAACTTTACTTTCATTCAAACAAGCAGGTGTATAGCAAAAAAAAAAGGCAGTTCAGCCAATTAGTTACACTAGAAGTGGAACATGAAACCCTCCTTTCAGCCCATCTACACTTGATCCCATTAACAGAAGCCATGGCTTTTGGCTATTTGGTGATTAGCCTACCACACCTCTCCTCCTTACACCTGTGAATACAACTCACCTGCTCCTCATCTTCCATTAGTTCCTTTTCTGCAGAAACATGCATTTCTATTTTAGGGCAATAATTGTTTGGCGGCACCACCACCCTGCTTCAAACAAAGTGCTGGAAAGATGTCTACATGCCGATACTGAGGGCATTCCATCAAGGGCTTTCTGGGGCCAACAATTTTATTTCTTTAAAGCACATTGATCCTGCTCTTTAGTCAAAGGTCAAGCATATGACACTCCCTCTCCCTGCTTACAAAAGGAAAAGGGATTGGGAGGAAGGAAACCAACTCTGGCACTAGAAAGATTTCAAGGAAAAACTGCCAAAAGTCACTAGTCTATCAGCAAAGCAGATGGGGAAGTCTGGCAGATCCACCTTCTATAGCCTGACTGAATGACTACTGATCAAGTTGAAGGAACTCAGTGAAGCAAACTGATATAAATAAGGGTTTTGAGACTGCATGCTTCTAGAGTTGCCATGTTTTACTGGTCTTGTGCCTCAAGTCAGTCAAGGCTTTGGACATGGAAGGTGAGGTTTCCTGGTAAGGAACTAAGCTTGTATATGCTCTGCTGATCCTGGAAGCCAAGAAAGTGGCAAGCCTTTCTTCATACACAAGACATGAACCTGTTGGCCACATTAATCCTACGTTCTTCAGATACTTTTCAATATCTCCCTCCCCACAACCATAGTTGAGAAGAATCAACCCCTTTCCCCTGAAACCACAATGGCTTCAAGTATTTCATTCAGCTTTCCAGAGTGCTGTAAATGTTTTTTGTTTTTTTTGCTGTACATATTTTTTTGCCCTACAAATTCTCTTCCAGATGCATGTGTATTAAATCCAATATTTCATTCCTCTAGGAAATTATTTTTCCTCCTACCTCTGGGAGAGGGAGAGAAGAAAGGCAACACAATCCCAGAACTCCAGAGGTTTTAAAAATGTTAACTTGCCTTTCCAAACCACCCTATACCAACAAACTCCTGTGATAAGCCCTTGGGCGAGCTGTTAAGTCACACACTAAACCACCCATTCAGCCAGGGTTTGGGGACTTATTACTTTCTATAGTTTCCCCACATGCTTTTAAATGGAACACTATTTCCACCTGGGCAAGGAAGAAGTTACAGGAGCATTTGACACCTGGGAAGGTGCCCTACTCGAGGGAAAGCTGCCACGTTTAGGACACAAGCCAGGGATCACAAAAACCATTACCCTCGACATTTTCCAGGGCCCAGTTCAAGCCTAACCAAGCAGTGAAGCACTGCAGATGCAAACAGATAGCCAACATGGGACAACAGATGCACTCTAGCTCCACTCATCCCTGAATAGTGCTGTGCAGACTGGAGGATACCCCTGTGCCAGCTGAATAGCAATGTCTCAAGGGATGCTTCCTCCGACTTTCCGCGGCTTAATTGCTCCCTTATTTTATTCAGCTTGCTCAAATCAAGCTCTCGAGCACGACCATTTCAATGGCAAGATTTATTGTTTTGTATACATTTGCCTGCCTTGACCTAGCCCCCTTCCAATGCTTGTTTATTTTCCTAGGATTCCGCTCTCCCCGCACCCCTTCCTAAGAAATGCCGGGAGTCCTGGTCTCTTAAAGGGGTAGCTGAGGCAGGGACATTATCCTCAAGACGGATTGCTACATTTACACTACAGGCAAACCACCACATTTAGAGCTGGCTACTTTGTCGCCTTCCCCACTCATTCCATTACTCCACCATACAATTGCGGCAAGATTAAACTCAAATAGTAGTAGTAGTAGTAATAATAATAATAATAATAATAATAATAATAGCAGCTCCCAGCACTCTTGGCTGCAAGGTGATTTTTTTTTTTAGAAAAAGCAAGCTAAGGAGACACTGTAGTTATTTTACAGAAAGCAACCCAGCATTTGAGAGTGGAAAGCAAATTCCCAATTCAAGAGGCCAAAATATAGCCATTGTTTCCTGCCTCCCAAGTCTGACAAGGCCACCTGGAGACCTTCGGAGGCGCAGCTGCCTTGGGGACCGACCGAGACCCAGCGTGTGTGTAGGGTATTTTTTTTTTTTTTGCGCGTGTACGCTTGCGTGTGCGTGTGAACCCTGCTCAGAACAGGCCCCCTCGAGCCGACAGCAGCCACCCCTCGGAGGCTCCCCGGCTGCCTGGCGGCGAGGCAGCTCGTCCGGTCGATCCCGGAGCTCCGCCGGTCTCGTCGTGCCTCCCCATGATACCTCCTGGGAGGTGGGGAAGGCAAAACGCGGACATGTCACTCGGACGCCTCCGAGAAGCCGCTGTCGTGGCTGCAAACAGACGCTGCAAACCGGAGCCTCCCTCCCTGCCTGCCTGCCGAAAGCGCTGTTCCTTACCAGCCTCAGCGCCGCGCCTCTCCCCACATGATCCCGCCACGGGAAGCCGGCAAGCGCCCTGACGCAGCGGCGGCTCCGCTTAAATATTGAGCCCCGCGCGAGCCTTCGGCGGCCTGAGCCACTCACAGCGAGAGAGATGGTTTTAATCAGCTGCTGGCAGCTGAGCACTGCCCAGGAATGCGCGCCGATGTTTTTGCTGCCTCGGCTCGGGCGACTCCCCCTCAACGTGTCTTGCGCTCCCAAACTTAACTCCTTCCGTCCCGTAGAGGCAGGAGATGGGGAGGGGGGGGACAGCCCAGCGCCGCGCGCGCCGGAGGGGTCAGTGGTTAGAGGCAGTGCCGGATTTACGTATAAGCTAAACAAGCTATAGCTTAGGGCCCCACACTCTTGGAGGCCCCCCAAAAAATTAAAGGACAAAAACCCTGGATGTACATTTCCAACATATAAGATAAAAAAAATAAAAATAAAACCTACAGTGTTTTGTGTTGTGTAGGCTCCTATGATGTCAGTAAAGAGTCCCGCCTGCTCCCTAAAATATCACTGGTTTGCTCATTTCTATATATAGGGTGCCTACATTCTGCATGGACTGGTTGCATGGCAACATGTGCAAAGGGCTTTAGATATTAGGTCCATAAATTACCATATAGCATACATTCAACACAAAAAACAGCAACAATTTGTTGTTGACAAAGGACAGCTAGACATATAAAGGACCCCCATTACCTCCAGTAGCTTAGGGCCTCATCAAACCTAAATCCGGCCCTGGCTGGAGGGATCAATGGTTAGAGCAAGCAGGGAGGGGGAGCTAGGGCTGGCAGGGGAAGAAGGGTTTGGCAGAGTTTAGGATCTGGACGTTTTGAATGGGACAAATTCATAGGAGCGCAGGGAGCTGCCCAAACCGAGTCCCCAATGGCACAGCAATAAAACTGCCAGCAGGTTTGCGAAACTAAACAGGGTCCATCCAGTTTGGTTTCAGATTGGATGGGTGGGGTGTGGGTTGAGAGTCTTGCATTGCATGGGGCTGGACTAGATGACCCCTCGTGGTCCCTTCAACTCTACATTCTATGATTCTAAGTGTTGCCCATCTGGCTCCATATCATTTGCACTGACTGGCAGTGGCTCTCCAGGGCACTACCCAGAGGCACCAGGGATCGAACCTGGGATATTTGACATGCAAAGCAAGTGCTCCACCGCTGAGCTACGGCCCTCTTTCATATGGTGGGCTTTCTGCCATTTGGATGTGAGGGCGATCTGGCTGCGACATCTGTCACCCCATTGATCGCCAGGGTTGATTTGGCTGATCTGGCTGGCTAGGCGGGTGTCCCCTTCCTCCCTCAGGACTCCATGTGCGTCCCTCCCGAAGCTGCGCGCTCGGTGGAAGAGGACGACCATCCCAGATAGAAGGAGTGTACCGTTCTTAGGTCAAGGGTATACGATAGCTGCGCTCCCCTGCTAGAACCTCCAAACAAGCTCAGGCCATTTCCTTGAAATCTATAGGGGGGGGGCATTTGAGAAGATGCAGGGGCAGAACTAGACTTTATTTCACCTGGGTCAAAGACCCAGTTTGGCACCCTCCCCACGTGCATTTACTCACACACACAGGATGGGGGCCTCAATGGTTTCAAAAAAACCTGGCTCTGTGAGATGCTATGTTCAGGATCAGGGCCCCAATCACTTTGCTTTCTTTCCTTTGCACTCTTCAACATAGCATCCTTCATTAAAGGTAAAGGACCCCTGACCCCAGGACCCCAGACCCCAGACAACTCTGGGGTTGCGGCGCTCATCTCGCTTTATTGGCCGAGGGAGCCGGCGTACAGCTTCCGGGTCATGTGGCCAGCATGACTAAGCCACTTCTGGCGAACCAGAGCAGCACACGGAAACACCATTTACCTTCCCACCGGAGCGGTACCTATTTATCTACTTGCATTTTGACGTGCTTTCAAACTGCTAGGTTGGCAGGAGCAGGGACCGAGCAACGGGAGCTCACCGTGTCACAAGGGATTCGAACCACCAACCTTCTGATCGGCAAGTCCTAGGCTCTGTGGTTTAACCCACAGCGCCACCTGTGTCCCTGCATCCTTCATTGTATTCTATCAAATTCAATGGGATTTAAAAGGGCCTGTAGATGAGTAACTTATGATTGATTATGTGGGGGAGTGGCTTACTTGGGCCCTTCCAATAGTTTATTCAAGTTGGCACCACCCACCTGTCAAAGTTGTCCCATGGGTTCATTGGCAAGAGGGAGGGAGGAGAGATTAAAAGATCTGACACCAACTGTGTCTTTCCCATTCCTGCCTTACAAGGCTGTTTTTTCCAGCTTACTTCTGTTCTGTGCCTGTCATGTGCTTAGTCATTGGTCCATTCCGTCCTGGTTTTTGTGGATTTTTAAAGGTGGAAAATTAGCATTTAAATTGCATGCAATTCCTAACACGCATCTAATTCCTCATTGTGTACGTTTACTTGTTTTGAGGATTATTAGAAAATGCATGTAAAACCCCTTGAATACTTAAAAGTGCCATACAGATGTTGTGTATTGTCATTATGGTGTGGTTTATTTATGTGTATACTGCTTTTTAATTCAAGATTCCCAAAGCAGTGAACAACAATATACATTAATACAAATATATAATAAAAGTACAATGTATCAATTAATCAAAACAAAACAAAACAAAACAAATAGCATCGGAATTCAGCAACGGATACAGATTGTGTAATAGGATTTGATTCTCACTAGGTTCCGTGCACTGGAAATTGCAGAAATATCCATTCCCACTTTGGTTCTTTGCGGGAGGGAAGAAGTAATAGGAACCACCTTTTTGGCATTTCTCCCTACACACCTGGTTAAGTCAAAACCCCTCAAAATAGTGCCATCATAGCTCATGTATGTAGAGGTTTCAAGAGTAGTAGTTGTTGTTGTTTAGCCGTTTAGTCATGTCCGACTCTTCATGACCCCATGGACCAGAGCACGCCAGGCACTCCTGTCTTCCACTGCCTCCCGCAGCTTGGTCAAACTCATGTTCGTAGCTTCAAGAACACTATCCAACCATCTCGTCCTCTGTCGTCCCCTTCTCCTTGTGCCCTCCATCTTTCCCAACATCAGGGTCTTTTCCAGGGAGTCTTCTCTTCTCATGAGGTGGCCAAAGTATTGGAGCCTCAGCTTCACGATCTGTCCTTCCAGTGAGCACTCAGGGCTGATTTCCTTCAGAATGGATAGGTTTGATCTTCTTGCAGTCCATGGGACCCTCAAGAGTCTCCTCCAGCACCATAATTCAAAAGCATCAATTAGCTGTCTCACTACTACTCCTGTTACGATAAGTGTTACATGTTCCCCACTTCTCTGAGCAGTGGGCTGGGCAGGGCTTAGTTTTCTTTGGATGAGAGAGCACTGCAGACTCATGGTGTCTTATTAACTAATCTACAAGTACAACACAAGTGGAGGCAACTGGCACTCCTTCGAGGCAGGAGATCCCCCAGAGAGGAACCTGGGCAGCTCTCCAAGACTGCACCCTCACTTCTGGCTAACTCCAGTACCTGCAGTTGGAAACTTGGGTTTCCCCCCTCTCTTTCTTTCATTGTATCTAACTCTCTCTTCCAAACTGCAAACACCTTTTTCACACCTTGTCTATGGACCCCCTCCTCAGCTGGAGGGATGTTGCCTCCTACAAACTCTTGATGGGTGTCTCATTCAAAAACACAGAGATTACTAGCTATCAGGACACAATTGCCTAACCAATTTATGCTCAATGATGCAACATCAATCAGCTTTTCTGGGCTATTATCCAGTAATCTTCCTAACAAAGCAGCCAAAACAATAGGTTATAGGCCGATGTCCTCCAGAGCTGAGCCAGGGCTAAACAAGAAACTCTTGCTCTGCCCCCAATGCTAGAAATATATGTAGGCAGAGGTGGGGAATCTGCGACCCTTTGGGTGCTGCTGGACTCCAGTTCCCATCAATCCCAGCCAACATAGCCAATGATTGGGGATTAGGGAGTTGAACTCCAGCAGTATCTTGTCATTTAGTCGTGTCTGACTCTTCGTGACCCACATGGTCCAGAGCACGTCAGGCCCTCCTGTCTTCCACTGCCACCAGCTTAGATGGACACCAACTTAGATGGCTTTAAAGGACAAACAGGGCTGCTAATCATGAAGTCTGTATGTTATCTCCAGGATTCTGAGCAGCACCATTTTCATAGAATGATAGAACTGTAGAGTTGCATGGGACCCTGATGATCATCTCTAGTCCAATCCCGGCAGTGCGGGAATATGCAGCTGTTCCATATAGGGATCAAACCTGCAACCTTGGCATTACTAGCACCACACTCTAACCAACTGAGCATAACACTATGATATGTCTGTATGATATCTCTATACAATCTCTCCAGGGTTAGTAACAATATCATTCTCATAATATGCGCCACTGTTTTGATCCAGCAGTGGGATAACTCCTTTGGAAATGGTTTAGAGCTTTGAAACCCTTTTAGGTTGGTTTTTTTTTTTTTTGGCTAAATATTAACAAGTCACCTCAGACTTAATCTTTTTCAGACTTGTAGAGCCACTGAATGCTGTCGGAATTAAACACTTATACAAAGCAGAGACATCACCTTGCCAACAAAAGTCTGTATAGTTAAAGCTATGGTTTTCCCAGTAGTGATGTATGGAAGTGAGAGCTGGACCATAAAGAAGGCTGGTCGCCAAAGAATTGATGCTTTTGAATTATGGTGCTAGAGGAGACTCTTGAGAGTCCCATGGACTGCAAGAAGATCAAACCTATCTATTCTGAAGGAAATCAGCCCTGAGTGCTCACTGGAAGGACAGATCGTGAAGCTGAGGCTCCAATACTTTGGCCACCTCATGAGAAGAGAAGACTCCCTGGAAAAGACCCTAATGTTGGGAAAGATGGAGGGCACAAGGAGAAGGGGACGACAGAGGACGAGATGGTTGGACAGTGTTCTTGAAGCTACCAGCATGAGTTTGACCAAACTACAGGAGGCAGTGGAAGACAGGAGGGCCTGGTGTGCTCTGGTCCATGGGGTCACGAAGAGTCGGACACGACTAAATGACTAAACAACAACAATGATATGTTACAGGATTGTGCCCATCACCTGTTATGAAGAGTATATGATACAGGTTTAGCATTCTTCAATGGTATATGGCATGGGATACATGCACTTCAAAGATACATGTCTTT